TTCAAATTCCTTGGCAAAGCCCAGACTGACACCACTCACCCAGGTTTTCCATACAATCTTCCTTGGGACTTCTTGGCCTGTTGTTAGGCCCTGCTCATGCCAGTGGTGTCAAGACAGAGAAGTTAGAAAGGAGCAAATGCCAGTACCAGCAGCAAGGTCTGCAAACATTCCAAAGGTCCTAACATCCCAGATCTTACCAAAAGAACCCACCATAATCAGGGGATGTGATTCTAGGAGCTAAAATACAAATATTATTTCTGCAGGCTTGCCTGGAACTGATGGCTTTGAAGTGTGAGGATTCAAATCCCTGCCCAGGCCGGACAGAGAGTTGTCAGAGTCACCTGAGGAGAAGGCTCTTACTTTTGAGTAGAGCCTGGTTCATGAGCAACCCTTTACTCATGAAAAGTCCTGAGGCAGACACCTCTTTGCTTAGCAACTGACCCAATGGGGTTCAGCCTCCAGTGTAAATGCATGTTGTTTGGAGGGCTGATGAAGGAATGCTCGGAGCCCCCTCTAGCTGGAGTACTCCAATTCTTTCTCCACAGCAGCAATTAGCCTAGGGAGCTTTGGCTACTGGGCAGTTTAGACATGAATAAATAAATAAACAAACACAACAATCTTCAGCTGTCCTGTGAGAAGAAGCCGAATAAATACTCTCGATATTGTACTTGTAGGGTGGTTGTTGTGAGGATAAAAGGAAACTATGCAAGCTGCCTTGAGTGCCTCCCAAGATGAAAAAGGAGGGATATAAATGCAATGCAGTAACAAAAAGGGTAGTGCCAGTGTCCTTTGTGTTTCCCCGGGTCCTTTGCGAGTTCCTTATTTCTTGCATTGTGTCTTTTAATTGATTGACCTGAGGATAGGGGCTGTTATCCTTGATCTTTGGGTGCTGCTCTCCTTTTGCTGAAGAGTGAAGATGTGTTACAAGATGTGTGTGGAGTGGGTATGTGTGTGTGGACATAATGATAGCATTATCTGCTAACTGGTCGAGTTATCTGATGTCTACTAAGGAGTCATCCCTCCCGCCCCCCCCCCAAACCCCCCCTCCCTCCATGCCCTTAAAGACCCTGTACAGTTTTGACCTTGACATAAGAGCACACATAGAAAAGTACTGCTTCTATACAAAAAGGCTAAAGTATAAACTCATTCAACCCACCTCACTAAATGCAAGACAACAGAGGGACAGAGTAGGTGCAGAAAGCAGTAAGTTACCCCTTTGTGCTTCGAGAAGGCTTGGAGTTCTTTGGAAAATGGCTTAGGAGTTAGTTACCTGAAGAGAAGATCAACTGTAGACAAGTTTCATCCAATAACTTGATTCTGGTAGTTAGACTGTTGGACTGGGGATCTGGGAGATCCAGGTTCTGGTCCCTTTTCAGTCATGAAGCTCACTGGGTATCTTTGGACCAGTCATGCACTCTCAGCCTAACCAATCTCACAGGGTTCTTGCGGTGAGGATAACACGAAGCTATGCAAGCAACAAAAGGAAAAAAGGCAGGCTATAAATGCAATGTAATAATGATAATAATAATTCTGCTACAATGCACAAAGGTTATGAAGGCAAATTTCAAGTTACACTGTCTGTTTTCACAGAGCAATGGCAGGCAAGCCTGGTTAGTGGTCAGCATGAATTAAGAGTTCTCCACAGATGATGGCTGTAAAAAGAATCAAATTGTGCTGCAAGATGCAAAGGCCCAGTCCCTCATCCTCATTCAAAGCGAGCATAATAGGAAAATTTCCTTTGCCCTCACTGGTACCTTCTCATTAACTATATGGCATTGTGACAATATTCCGTTCAGTATATTAAAAGACACATCTGAATCTTCTGAAAAAGAACTTCAAGTGATTTGTGGTAGACTGGCAAGGTTTCTGATTTCTACTTATTTGGCAAAGATTTCAGACTCCCAATTATTTAGCAACTGCAGCAACAAAATGCCTTCCTTCCTGCCCTAATTGAATTGTTGAAATGAGAGAAGCTTGGGGTGGTCTTGAGATTAAGGACTGTGAGCTGAGTTCCATTCAGTTCTGGTACTCAGAACAGATTACATAGCTCAGAGTTCTTTAATTGTAAATCCATGTCTTTGCACCAGACTCCTGAGAGTGGATCCAGGGGCGTGCTCCTTCCCTCCCACACACACACACACACACACACACACACTGATTTGAAAAGACCGGTCTGCTCACTGCATTGCCAGCATCTTGCCAGCATCTGTGTTGCTGCTTACTAGCTGGCATCTTGCAATTAAAAAAAAAAGCTTAAATGTAAAAAAAAAAAAAAAATGTTGAAGAAGCAAGGCTTAGAAAAACATTCACAGCAAACAGATAGGAAGGCATTTTTGCAAACCCCCTCTCCCTCCCTATAGAACTGCAAACTTTGCATTAAAAAATCACAAAGCTCACAAACACAGGTTGGAGCATGACTTTCTAGTCCCTAAGGTTCTGAAGATCTGCTTCAAACTTCTATAATTTTAGAAGGGAAGGGAAAGCAAGGGAGCCAGGACTAGGGGATATCAGCAAGACTTCCAGGGGCAGCAGAAGCTGAATGCAAACTACTACGTAACTCCAAAAGTTTTACTGAATACAGGCTGAATGTTTGCCAGGACTTAAATCTAGTCTTAGTTTTCAGTGCTTAATTTGGCTTAAACATGGGACACATGAGAAATTAAGAACTTCTTGAGCACAACACCTATCCTTCACATTGGAGCAAATCTTGTAGACTGGGGAACTTGAGTTCCTGCACCATTTTCCTAGGAAATAAATGTAAATCAATAACCTGATCGAGCTTTAATCACTCTTTGAGAAGATCCATTGTAATCAATGGGACTTAAGTCAATCTACTCACTATAAATATAAATTTCATATGCATGCAAAGGACAAGCTGGATTCCAAAAAGGCACTTGAGAGCATATCACAAATATATGTAGCCTACTGGAGCACATCAAGGGATGTCAGGAGAATGTATTACGCTTTACAGACTATAGCAAAGTCTTTGACGGTGTGGATCATGAAGCAATGGATAGCCTAAAAAAAATGGGCAGGCCTCAGCACTTGATGGTCTTGATGTGTAACCTGTATCACAGATAAGAAGCTACTGTTAGGGCAAATATGGAGAAACAGAATGGTTTCCTATAGGCAAGGTCATCAGACAAAGGTGTATTTTATTTCCTGATCTGTTCAATCTGTACACAGAACATTTCATAAAGAAAGCTGGATCTGAGGGAAAGAAAAGCTGAAGGAGTGAAAATTGGCAGAAGACATAGTAATAATGTAAGATACTCAGAGGATACCATATTACTGGTAGAAAGCAGCAATGAACTGAAATGACACCTGATGAAAGAAGAAAATGCAAAAGCAGGACAGCAGCCGAACATTAAGAAAACAAAAAATTTAACTACAAAATAATTGCACAACTTTAAGGTCAACAATGAAGAAACTGGATTGTGAAAGATTTTACATACCTTGGCTCAATTATCTATTTAAATTGAGATTGCAGCCAATAAACTTGAAGACTGAGACTTGGAAGGGGAGCAATGACAGAACCAGCAACGATCATCAAGTGAAAGGACATTCCCTAGAGACTAAAGCCAAGGTCATCCACACTACTGTATTTTGGATCATTATGTATAGATGTGAAAGCTGGACAGTGAAGGAAGCTGACAGGAAAATAATTGATGTGCTCAAAACATGGTGCTGGAGCAAAGCTTTAGGAGTACGCTGGACAGACAGAAAGACAGACAAAAGGGTCCTAGCCAGAACTTTGCTTGGAAGCAAAAATGACAAAACTGAAGCTGTCATACTTTGGGCTTATCATGAGAAGGCAAGACTCGCTGGAGAAATAGTCATGCTAGGGAAAGTCAAAGGCAAAGAGGAAGACTAAATATGAGATGGCTTAACTCCATAAAAGCAGCCCCAGGCTTGAGTTTTCAGGAGCTGAGCTGAGCTTAGCTGTCAAGGACAGGACACTATGGGGCACATTCATTCATAGAGTTACCATACGTTGGAGGTGACATGATGACACATAACATCAATAACATCCAAAGGACAGTCTCAGAACCAATGCCAAATAATTGTATTTCAAGTGAACTTTGGTGCAGTCCAATACGATGGTGGTCAAATGCATCTTTTGGCATATGCCCATGTGGCATTTGTGGTCAAAAACCCCAAGCACACAAGAAAGCAAGGGAGGAATTGTAATCCTGTATGGTATAGTCATGGATACCATACAGTAGCCTTCCTGAACCAAATGCTTTCCAGATATTTTGGACTACCACCATTCCCAGCCACAATGGCCTAAATTGAGTGAAAATAATGGGATTTGCAGGCTAACTCAACTAGGGGGCTCCACGTTGGGGAAGGCTGTCTTACAGAATTTGTACTAGAGAAACCCAAGTGCCAAACTCTGTTCTACACTAGTGAGATGGCTGTGAGCAAGTTAGTGTCTCTCAGCTTGTCCAGTTGTGAGGATAAAATAGGATGGTCCTACCAATGCCAACCTGAGTTCCCTTAAGAAAAGGCAGGGAGCAAAGGTGAGATTATAAAAGGGGGAAACCAGGAAGGCTATAGGAGAGGGGGAAATGCATCTGCAATCAGAAGGTTTCCAGTCAACTATTCCACTGGGAACGTGTCAGCAAGCAAATCCGTAGCTTAGAAGGAATCTGCGGCATTTGCACTCTTAGACTTGCCTATAAAAAGACACACTTTGTCTCCCCCTGAGTATTGGGGCAGGTTGAGTAGCAAAGCTGTTACTATTTTCCCTATGGAATGCTCTGGGCAATCCGTTTTTAAAAGTCTTTTCAGTATGTGCGTTCTGAAATCTTCCCAGCCCAGGTGCAAAAAGCTGCCTGCATTGGTGACTCCAGGCCTTTGCACAACGTGTTGATGACAAAGGACAATTGTTGAGTGGGAAGGGGGGGACAGTCTTTTTGGAGAGCCTTCCTTTTATAGTAAACAGCAGCCGCACTTGCAATTTGCCCACCCTCCAGTATGCGACCCACAGCTGAGTATATAAGCTATGGGAACAAGTGTTGCCTTTTGTTCCTCGGCTCTTTGCTTCGCTGCTGCCTTCCTAGCCTCCTTCATCCCAACTCCTTTGCCAGTAGCCCAACTTCATGGCCCCTAAAAAACCAGATCCCAAGAAGGAGGCTGCCAAACCTGCTCCAGCTCCAGCTCCAGCTCCAGCCCCAGCTCCTGAACCACCCAAAGAACCTGCTTTTGATCCCAAGAGTGTGAAGGTAAGTAAGGAATCCAAATGTACCTTTCCATTCTCTTTTCTGAAGGCAGGAGTGCGAGAGGTCGGTGCTCAGGATCAGATTTCCTGCTCTGCCAAAGGCTCATTAATGGCTTAGGACATTTCACTACACACCTTAGCTTTAGTTCCCAGACCTGTTGTTTGTCAACAGTAGAAGGCAGTCCATTTTGCAATTAAATGACTACTTTAAAAGCTGATTCACTTCCTTCTGTCCTTCCTTCCTCAGTCTAGCTTTTCCTAATTTGCTACAGAGGTTCTGCTTCTTAATTTATTGTTTAAAAAACTTTATTAGCAATTAAGGAAAGCTTTGGAAGAACTTTGCTTTCTACATTACTTTATTAGTCATTATATTCTTTGATGTAAATTGTTTCTGTGAAGGGGCAAATTAGCTCACTCAATGCCAAGAATGCACCAAACTGGCCATTGCGGCTTATATTATAATTTTGAATGTTCCTATACAGTACAATAAGTCTGACAACAGAAAAAATGCATCTCCTTCATTTAACATCAGAGTTCTCTAAATTCCTGAGTCTCTGTAGATCCAAAAGCTGCAACTTTTCCTGATCCCATCCAAGCTATGGCTGCATCTGAGAGCCAATGTGGTGCACTTAACAGCATGGGACTAGGACTCAAGTGATCTGGGTTCAGTCCCCGCTCAGCCATGGAGCCAACTGGGTGACTTTGGGCCAGTCACAAGCTCTCGGCCCAAGCTACCTCACAGGATGCTTGCTGCGGAAATAAGATTGAGAGCAGGGAGAAGGGAATAATGTAAGCTGTTTTGAGGTTTTGTTTTGTTCTGTTTTTTAAGAAAAAGGCAGGAAATAAATCTAGTAAATAAATAAGATCTACATACTAATACATAATATGGATGTATGGCGGACTGGTTATTGTACAGACAATAGACATTCCTTGCCCAGAAGGCTTACAGATTACACTAGAGACAAGGAGAGAGCAGTGCAAAATGAGGGTGGTGTGTAGCAGGGAAACAGGTGAGGTCTTGCTAGTGGCTTGAGGGATGTGGTTTTAAGGGCAGAGAAGGAAAGACCATTATAGAACTAGCAAAGCAAATACTTAAGAGGAGGAAAGGGATCAAAAGCTAGAGGTTTTCCGTGGCATAGAGAGGGAAGGGAAAGGGTTAGGGCCAGGAGGTGGAGATATTGAACTTAGATTAGGAATTTAGAAGTGGAATGATAAAGCCCATCCCTATCATTAGGATGAATGAGGCAGCCCTCTCAGGTGGTAAATACTGGAAAACAAAGAATGATGGTGCATGGCTGCAAGGCTGGACCTTTTGGGCCATGCAGCCTACACTGTGTGGTGTGGTGGTGAGTTTTGGACTGGGGAACCAGAAGATCTGGGATCCAGTCCCCATGCAGCCATGAATCTCACTGGGTGACTTGAGGCCATTCATTCCCTCTCTGCAGAAGCAACCTCACACGTTTGTTGTTGTGGGGTTAATCATGCAGCAGAAGAGGATTATGTGAGACACCCTGGAAAAAAGAGGGAAAAAAGCAGGCTATAAATGCCACATAATAATACAATACTCCACGATCTCCTGAAGCTATTCTACTCCACTGTTCTGCCACCACTGCCCAAATAACATTTGACTGCCTGTTTGGCCAAGCTTCAGTATGTGGGAAGATGGGCTGCCATCTTGTCCTTTGCCTCAGGCACCCAGATGTCTTGGACTTGCCTGGGAGCCCCAATGGAAGAATGAAATGATAGCTGGAATACTACGGTTGTTGTGCAACCGGTGGTTGCAGGGGAGGGCATTTCTACAGCTTCCTTGACCGCTGGCACTGCTGCTGAGATGCCCCCCTTACACACAGCTGTTCAGAGATGCAGGAGCCTGTCTTCTTCTGCAGAAAGAGGGACTTGCCAGTGACATTGTAGGCTGAGGGCAGGACTAAAGGCAGACCAGAAGAAGCTGAAGCCACTAGTTAAGAACTGTTCAGGGCAAGAACAGTAGATTTTTCGTCTATTTTAAAATATATTATATGTATACATTTTTATATTTTTATTTTATATATAGCCCTATACATATCTGCTTGGGTGTCTATCCTTCTGAGTTTAGGCAAGAGCCTCAGAGAAGCAAAAGTGGTTTTGGGAGATGTCAAAAAGGAAGAATCAGAGGATGGGGTGGGGAGGGGTGGACAAGGAAAGAGATGAAACTCCTACATGTGGTTGACTGGTGTTCATGCTTTCTCTTCCCACAAGTGCCTTTATCTGCCTGGAGAAGTGAAGTCAGGGGAGGAAATACTCCTTAAAAACACCAGGGCTCCTTAACACAATCCATTTTTCCAAACAGGAGTTTGCTTATAGTATATAAAAGAATGGGGAGAAAAGGACAGCAGGTGTACATCTTCAGAGCATCCACAAGGCCAGTTCCAAAGCATCAGACAAACATTTAATGAAAGCGGTAAAGCCCCTAGGTTTTGTGAGTCTCACAACTTATGTAACAAAGCCAAGAAAAAGGTGGGCTGCTGGATATTTTTGCACCTTCCACCATGTGTGTGGTTTCATAACAGGAATCTGAATTTCCTGCAGGTTCTAATTCTGAAAAAGAAATTGCATGGCATCTGAGAGGCTATATTCTGTATTTTAGGATGTTATAATGACTTAGGGAGATAAACACTAATGGCTTCCATCTAGACTAATTAGTCATGCTGTTATCTCATTAAAATAATGGTCATCATGGTCCAGGGTACAGTCCTGCAAGATGGAAATCTCTCAGACTTGGAAGCTTCTGAGAGCTTCCAACAGGGTGGAAGGAGTGGTGAAGGCAATTTTGCTTCTCTGTCTTCCGCCTGCTGGGTTTTACACTAGGCAGCTTTTTTGCCTATCTAGTGAGGGTGCTTTGGAGGGGGAGAGAAAGAAGCTGGCAGAGAGTCAGACCTCTCCAGTCTCCTCCCCTTCTGGCCCACTGGAATGCCTTTTCCTCCTCTCTGAGGTCGATTTTCTGACCCCTGAAGCCAGCTGGCACAGTTATTTCCATGCTGGCTGTGAGGGGGGTTGAACAGATCTCCAGCCAACCCTTCTAAAGTTGGAGTGTAGTCTCCAGCCTCAAGGGCAGGTGGTGGTGGAGAATCCACAGCCTCTGTGGCCGCTCAGACAATGTCAAGGGGCCATAGGATTGTGCCCTAAATCAAGTAATTTAATGTTCTATGGCTACATTTGGTGCTTTTGTTTTTGTGTTCTTAATGCTGCTTTTAGGCTGGAGATTTTGTTTTAATTACAGATTGTTGATTTTTAATCCGTATGTCCTTTGTTATACTTTGCTAGCTACTTTATTTCTTTCGTCAAGGCTTTTTCTATCCCGTCAATAATTCAAAAGAATCTCAAGATGGTTACTCCTTTTCTGACAGAAAAAACAGGATATACACATGATAGGTTGTATAAATAAAATAAATAAACAAATGAATTTCTGTTCATTTGATGAATAACTTAGTCTGTAGCCATCCATGCTGGGGTGAGGCATAATTCTGAGCCCACTTGTCATTAAAACTCTGTTTTGCTGTGTAGGTGGGAGTGAGTGCAGAACAAGCTGTGTTTTTATCGACCAACTTCTGTTCAAAATCCTGGGGTCTTCAAGCTTTTGGATTGCACGATATTTAAAACAATTTCTTAAAATAATTCAAGCTTATATTTCCTGGTTGGTATGCTTCTCTACAGGCTTTTGTGGAAGGAGAACTGGTTTGTTTTGCTTTTTAGTTCCTGGAGTGCTCATAATTATCTAAAGTCTAATATAAAAAAGTTAAACTTTCTATAAGACCATGCCTATAGCCTATATCAAATAAAGGAGGAGGGAGGGGGGAAATATAAGAGAGAAGACATATGAGGGTCTTTTGGTTCCTTGTTTTAGAAAGAAGGAGAGGAGGCCGGATAGATGACAGATAACCTGCTCACAGATAACATTCTCTATGAACAGTGGCTGCCAGCCTGAGATACTTTGCTACCGGGGGGGGGGGGGGGGGGGGGGGGGGGGG